ATCGTTTTGGATATTTTTCTCTCTGGCTTCTTGTAGATTCCTTTTTCTTTAACGGCTTTACAAGTCACCAGTTCAATGGGTTCTTTCTAACGGAGGAACGGCATGTGGAACACTTTCGGGAGAAGAATACTTACTGTATTTTCCAGCATATAAGGCGCAGGACAGACGTATCATACCTGGAGTTTACCTGGAGAGACTTCCGGGGGTCAACGCCCCCGCGGCCCGGTCTGTGACCAGGCCTCCTGGTGGATCAGAGCCTGATCACCCAGGCTGTTGCTGCTGGCTGCACGCAAACCAACGTACGAGCCACAGCCCGGCTGGTCAGGAACCGACTTTAGGTGCTTGTCCAGTGCCAGCTTGAAGACTGCCAGGGGTCTGTTGGTAATCCCCCTTATGTATGCTGGGAGGCAGTTGAACAGTCTCGGGCCCCTGACACTTATTGTATGGTCTCTTAACGCGCTAGTGACACCCTGCTTTTCATTGGGGGGATGTTGCATCGTCTGCCAAGTCTTTGCTTTCGTAGTGAGTGATTTTCATGTGCAAGTTCGGTACTAGTCCCTCTAGGATTTTCCAGGTGTATATAATCATGTATCTCTCCCGCCTGCGTTCCAGGGAATACAGGTTTATGGAACCTCAAGCGCTCCCAGTAATTGAGGTTTTTATCTCCGTTATGCGCGCCGTGAAGGTTCTCTGTACATTTTCTAGGTCAGCAATTTCACCTGCCTTGAAAGGTGCTGTTAGTGTGCAGCAATATTCCAGCCTAGATAGAACAAGTGACCTGAAAGAGTGTCATCATGGGCTTGGCCTCCCTAGTTTTGAAGGTTCTCATTATCCATCCTGTCATTTTTCTAGCAGATGCGATTGATACAATGTTATGGTCCTTGAAGGTGAGATCCTCCGACATGATCACTCCCAGGTCTTTGACGTTGGTGTTTCGCTCTATTTTGTGGCCAGAATTTGTTTTGTACTCTGATGAAGATTTAATTTCCTCGTGTTTACTATATCTGAGTAATTGAAATTTCGCATAGTTGAACTTCATATTGTTTTCTGCAGCCCACTGAAAGATTTGGTTGATGTCCGCCTGGAGCCTTACAGTGTCTGCAATGGAAGACACTGTCATGCAGATAGCGGTAAATCAGTAATCATATTCAAGGGCTAATGACCCTGATACTTTACGCTGAAGCGTAGCCCAAAGTCTACCCTTGATCCCTGACCTTGAGCAAGACTTTCTGTGAAAAATGTGCGCCTTATATGCCGGAAAATACGGTACTTAACCCTTGTACGTCGTTGCTTCATGGTGTATGCGCTCTTGTGAATTATTAATAATATTATTGACGGTTTTAAACTAGCACTAAATGCTCGTGGATCATTTTAAAAAGATAATTCATGTTAAGCGCTAAACCCATGTGGGTTATTCAGCGCAACACGTGGTGGGGGCTCGATCCTCTGGTATTGAGAGCGAAATAGGCGTTCTTCCTATATGCACTCACCTATTTAAGAGTATAAAAATGAACATGGCAGGTTTACTGGCCCGTACTAGGCAAGTTCTTCTTGTGTGGATCATTTACAGATGCTGCACTTTACATGATTAACGGGATTTAAAGCCTATCGACTTCAATAGGGGTCATAAAGACTATGTAGACCTTTTCACCACTAGAAAATAGACTATAATATTTAAAACAGGGATTAAACTCTCGGCATATACACGATAAGAGAAATACACCTCTTGGTATATTTCTAGAAAAACAACTGGTGTTTAAGTATTGACAATGTAGTTTCATGTACTCACCTATATGTGGCTGCAGGGGTCGATTCATAGCTCCTGGCCCTGCCTCTTCATTGGTCCATGCTAAGTCATTCTCTTCCTGCTCCATGACCTTTATCATACCCTTTCTTAAAGCTATGTATGGAATTTGCCTCCACTACACTCTCCAGATTATTTCACTTCCTGACAACTTTCTAACATCCCTACGATTCATCTGGGTTTTCAACTTCCAATTGTGGCCCCTTGTTCCTGTATCCCATCTCAAACATTCGATCCCTGTCCACCTTGTAAATTCCTCTCAGTATTTTATACGTCGTTACCATGTCCCCCCTATCCCTCCTATTCTCTAGTGTCATCAGGTCGAGCTCCCTTAAGTTATCACATACTTCCTGCTCACTGTGAGCTCCTTTGTAAATTGTGAGTTCATTACCTTTGTAAATTGTGAGTTCATTACCTTTTTAAATTGTGAGTTCATTACCTCTGTAACTCGCTCAGCTATCAAAACTTTGGAGTCCAGTCCCAGGACCAATTATGTACCTCTATAATGTTTTGACTACCGCCCACAGGATGGGTATGGGGTGCATAATAAACATATTAAACTAAACTGTGAGCTCCTCGCCTTTCCTCAGCCTGACTACCTGGTCCTTGGCTGTTGTTTGTCTCCTAATGTGACTATAACAACTTTGGTTGAGATTTGGCTTTTGATACTATGTCGTTCTTGTATTTTACGCGCCTGTCTCTTAGTTTTTGAGAAAAAGGGGGGGGGGCCACTTTACTACGTACGTACGTACGTGTGTGTGTGTGTGTGTGTGTGTGTACTCACCTATTTGTACTCACCTATTTGTGGTTGCAGGGGTCGAGTCCTAGCTCCTGGCCCCGCCTCTTCACCGGTTGCTACTAGACCCTCTCTCTCCCCGCTCCATGAGCTTTATCAAACCTCGTCTTAAAACTGTGTATGGTTCCTGCCTCCACTACGTCATTTTCTAGGCTATTCCACTGCCTTACAACTCTATGACTGAAGAAATACTTCCTACTATCTCTCTGACTCATTTGTGTCTTCAACTTCCAATTGTGGCCTCTTGTTTCTGTGTCCCCTCCCTGGAACATCCTGTCCTTGTCCACCTTGTCTATTCCACGCAGTATTTATATGTCGTTATCATGTCTCCCCTGACCCTCCTGTCCTCCAGTGTCGTCAGGCCGATTTCCCTTAATCTTTCTTCATAGGACATTCCCCTTAGCTCTGGAACTAACCTTGTTGCAAACCTTTGTACTTTCTCTAGTTTTTTTGACGTGCTTTATCAAGTGCGGGTTCCAAACAGGTGCTGCATACTCCAGTATGGGCCTGACATACACGGTGTACAGTGTCTTGAATGATTCCTTACTAAGGTGTCGGAATGCTGTTCTCAGGTTTGCCAGGGCGCCATATGCTGTGTGTGTGTGTGTGTGTGTGTGTGTGTGTGTGTGTGTGTTTTGTGTGTGTGGTGTGTGTGTGTGTGTGTGTGTGTGTGTGTGTGTGTGTGTGTGTGTTCGTTTACGTGCTTGTCTGTTTTTTAGGAAAAAAAAAGAGGGGGGTCACTTTATCACGCTAGACTACGCTACTCTTTTGAAGATTATATTTATTTCTCACTCTATTCCATATTAATATATACTAATATTTACTACTATAATACTTACTGGTATACACAAGTGTTTGTGTTTACAAGCTTGTAGTTCTTTGAGAAAGGGGGGGGACACTAGGCTACACAACTCTTCTGAAGATTCTTAAATTACTAAATATTATCAGGACTAACCCTATCTATCTGCTGGCACTGTAAGTTAGGGAGAGAGTGATGGTATAGCATACAACCAGCAGGGCCAGACACTGACAACAACTATAATTACTGCCACACAGGCAAGTGTTGTCTGCACAGTAATGGAGGCTCCTGGTGGTGGCTTCTGTGATCTTCACTTTGTAACTCCCTCCGTAGCTCCCCTCAAGGAAGGTTCCTTGATGATGGTGAGGGGCTCTTGATTTAGGCAATTGGATCTGTGCTCCAGTTCCCGAATTAAGCCTGAATGCCTTCCACATCCCCCCCCCCAGGCGCTGTATAATCCTCCGGGTTTAGCGCTTCCCCCTTGATTATAATAATAATAATAATAATCCCTCCGTGGCTTTTATCATGCATTCAAGTTGTTTTTAATAACTTGGTATTCTTTCTTTTTTTCTTTTGTATTATGGTCATAATAACCTGATGATATTATCTGTAGTCATAACTACTGGGGATTTTGACTATTTTTGTCTTTCATTATTTACTGTATCACTCATTTATAACTGTCACTGCACTGCTGCCATAACCGGCCAGATATCTGCATTTATTTCTATTTAAGGTCACCCTTGACCATTAAATATGTTTTTGATTATTATTTATGTCAACAATCCAGCCCAGCCTGACCAGCTGCTTGCTACTCTCCCGCATTCAATTTTAAATTGTAAAATTCTTGTTTTTATCACATTATTCACACTCTAGAAAGCTGTTACAATCTTGTATATATATTCACAGATTCACTCACGTACAATGACCTCTAATAATATCTTAGGACAGCCACTAGAGCGCTAAATCCAGAGAGCACTACTTAACAATACTGCTTCACGTGTGTATTTTTCAAGGTTTTGAAGTGATGGAGTTGTCAGCCAACACAATTATTGTCCACTCGACCATCCTGTCTTTACAACATTGCTTGTCAACCTGCTGTCCTAATGTTGCTACGGGATTTGTAGCCAACACTCCACTGCAGTCATTATTATAATCAAGGGGAGCGCTAAACCCTTAGGATTATGCAGCGCCTGTGGGGGGATGTGGAAGATATTCAGGTTTAATTCAGGGAATTGGAGCACAGATCCAGTTTCCTTGAATATATAAAGGTTTCTTGACTTTGGTGAGAGGCTCTTGACCTAGGGCCAAGATCAAGAGCTCCTCACCAACGTCAAGGAACCTTCCTTGAGGGGTTCACTGCTGTCAGGGCAGCAACCCACAGTGACCAAGCCACCAACCCACAGTAACCAAGCCAGGTCTTAGCACCTAGCTTGACCCTATGTTCAAGGCCTCCAAAAAACTTTGAATTACAAGCATTTATTGTGCTTCATATGAATATGTTGTACTAAGCACCAGTGTTGTAGCCTTGACTACCAGTGTGTGTAGTGCAGGTGTTACATTGTCTACCAGTGTTGTGTCTGACATATAGCGTTATGTTTCAGGGAGGCGCGAGCAGTAGTGGAGATAGATGATCCGGACTACGTGTTGGAGCTACTTACCAGACTGGGTCACTCCATTATAAGGGCCAATGAGCTAGAAAAGTAAGTTAAATCCCTCCCTATCCCAAACACTGGAGTAGACACCACCTCCACCGTCCTGCTGAAGAGGACTAGCCTTATCCTCTCTTCCTTCCCTCTTCTTCCTTCTTTCCAATTTTTCCTTCTCCTCTTCCTTTCCTGTTGCTAATCATCTGTTCCTACATGTGTATTATTCATTGTTTCGTATGCTAACTATTGTCATTAAAACTGTGTGATAACCAAGACTGTATATACACCGAGATATGCTTGTGTATAAATATATATATATATATATATATATATATTATATATATATATATATATATATATATATATTATATATATATATATATATATATATATATACTAAGATAATGTGTGTATTTCATTGTATATAGGTGTGTATTTTAGAGTACATATACCTAATACACAAATAACCTGCACATAGAGGGACTAGTACCAAACTTGCACAAGAAAATCACTCACAACGAAAGCAAAAGACTTGGCAGACGATGCAACATCCCCCCAATGAAAAGGAGGGGTGTCACTAGCACGTTAAGAGACAATACAATAAGTGTCATGGGCCCGAGACTGTTCAACTGCCTCCCAGCATACATACGGGGAATTACCAATAGACCCCTGGCAGTCTTCAAGCTGGCACTGGACAAGCACCTAAAGTCGGTACCTGACCAGCCAGGCTGTGGCTTGTACGTTGGATTGCATGCAGCCAGCAGTAACAGCCTGGTTGATCAGGCTCTGATCCACCAGGAGGCCTGGTCACAGACCGGGCCGCGGGGGCGTTGACCCCCGGAACTCTCTCCAGGTAAACTCCAGGTATAGAAAGGAGCTTACAACGACGTTACGGTCCAACTTGTACCATTTACAGAGTCACACTTAATATAAAAAGAGTGAAGGAGCCAGTGTATATAGATGAGGAGGACAGGGACGGGACCAAGAGAGGAAGAACAAGTAGTGGTAATGCTGGTAGTGGAAGTAGTAGTAGTATTACTACTACTTTTTGTTTCCTTGGTGCCGTCCCTGTCCCCCTTGCCTATATATATATTGGCTCCATCACTCTTTTCTGTTATTGTGATCTTGTAAATGGTACAAGTTGGACTGAAACGTCATTGTAAACTTCTTTCTCCTACGTACAGGTTATGTGGGTATACACATTGATATATATATCTCGGTGTATATGTTTTGTTCTTAATATATGAAGATATTTTTTAAGGATTTTTTAATATATTTTATGTAAAAAGGCAGAAAAATTGCAATTATTATTAGTAGTAATATACTCGTGGGGAAGTGCAAAACCCGTGGGGGGTTATAAAGTGCTTGGGAAAAAATAGGAGGTATGTTGTATCTGAGGAAGGGGAAAGTTGGTCCATTTTTTGGGGGGGGGGTCAAGAGCCCTTTACTGGCATCAAGGGTGACAATTTTAATGTATTTTGAGGTTGAAAATTTCTGGCAAGAAAGAGAGGCAGCATCCTGAAACATTGAGGTGGAAGAGCAGTCTGAAAATTATCATCTTCGAGGACCGAGGTGGTTGGTGGAAGGGGGAGGGTTTATGTTAGTGATGGTGTCCCGTGATCTGGTAGGTAACGCTGGGCTGGAGTGTAACTTCAGTTGCTCGAATCATGAGCCCTTTACTACCATCAAGGCACTGACCTTGATGAGCATTAGTATCATGGCTTGCTTACCCTCACCTGTATCTCAGTCTCTAATTACATAAATAACCCGCACATAGAAGAAAGAAACTTATGATGTTTCGGTCAAATACGGACCATTAATTAGTGACTGTGCTGGTTATTTGTGTATTGCTCCAGTCACAGTATTGTGCCTTTCTTCTCTGTTTCTCACTTCTCACTAATATTTGTTTCTCCTGTACTTCAGATTCGTACGTTCCTCTGGCAGTGCTAAGAGAGGTCTGGATCTTGGCCTGGGTCGTGGCTTCAGTGGCTCACAGGCAGCTAAGCACCTCATGGGTTTGGCTGCTGCCAACTTCGCTGGCGGCCCTGGCAGGAGGAGGAGAAGCCCTGACAATGCCCTCGACCTCTCTCACGATGACAACCTCTACGCCCAAGATCAGGCTGACCTAACAGAGTCATCACGATAAATGTTCATTGATCACTGTCATGTGACAACCTATATCTCGTCTGTCCTCTCTCATAATGTCTCCCTTTCCTCCCCTTTCTTGTGTTCATGGTGATTTTCTTTTCTGTCTTTTGTAAGTTTCTGAATTTTTCTCGGCATGAGATACGCCTCTTCTTCACACGACGTACTTTAAGACAGCGAGGCTCACAAGATTCATCCACAACTGTTCCTTCTGCTCTACTCCCTGATACGCTCCACCAGCAAAGTGTACAGCATTCTGTAATCCTCTGTCTGTTACTGTAGTAGGATTTCATATATGATACATTAGACCCTTCATAAGGTTAGAAATGATATAAACATTCGTCAACCTCTGCAGAAAGAAGGAAGATGTTGTAGCTTATATTTAAATAATATAATGTTCTGTGGATTGGGAAAGTGTAGTGGAATCACTGTAATTATCTACTCTTTTTCGTTGCTTTCACATTGATCTTCACATACTTAGCGTGGCGTGTACAGCACAACTGCTTCCATTATTTTCCTCAGTGGTTGAAGTCTTAAAATGTATTTAATGTTGGATTAATTCTTGTGTTCTTTGACTATCAGAGGCTTGTCTATCACTCGCACTGACCTTAATTATATACTGTGTTTGGCAGCTTTATGAATCTGTCCTGTGTAACCCTGATAAATAATATCAGTAAACTGTTGGTGGTCAAGTCTGTTGGTTGGTCAATGTATGGACATGTCTGATGTTATTAATCAGACATGTTTTGGATTAATAGCCAGGTTTGCCACACCTCTGGATGATAGCCTAACCACAACCTGGCTGTATTTAAGCAGTATTATGATCACATAAGGGCTTTATTCACCTATGACAATGATTTTTGTGAACCTCTTGTACTCATGAATAGTTTTTTCAACTACAAACACTGAATTCAAGCTGATGGCCTATATTTCTCTACGATAAATATAAAAAAGTCTACGCAAGTAAGGACAGTATTCAAAAAGCACAAAAATTTTCATACATGTCTCTGCCGTTATCTATATTTTCAAGAGCAGTTTGTCATGTTCCTGTTATTTTGTGTGATGTACGATCTCTTTGCTGAGAGATATCTCACTGGTGAGAGGAGGTAAGGATGAGACACTAGCGACCACATGACCTCCCATCCTTCCTATCTTTCTATGGGCTGGAACTTGTCATAAGTTAAGGCAGAAAAATATTTGTCCGTATATAACAAAATCTTCGGTTCACTTTAATGTAGATAAAATAAAGCGTGTCAGACCCTGCATTTATTTATTTATACAAGTACCTCCTAATTGCTTTAAGTGAAGACGTGTTTGTAAAAATGTGACATTAATTTCACAAGTGATGCAACCTACAGCTCATTAATAACGATATATTCATTATATTCATATATTCATTAATAACGATATATTATAAGAGCAGAGTATATGGAGAGTAAAAGAAAGGTGAAGAGAGTGGTGAGAGAGTGCAAAAGGAGAGCAGATGATAGAGTGGGAGAGGCACTGTCAAGAAATTTTAATGAAAATAAGAAAAAATTTTGGAGTTAAACAAGTTAAGAAAGCCTAGGGAAAGTATGGATTTGTCAGTTAAAAACAGAGTAGGGAGTTAGTAGATGGGGAGAGGGAGGTATTAGGTAGATGGCGAGAATATTTTGAGGAACTTTTAAATGTTGAGGAAGAAAGGGAGATGGTAATTTCATGCACTGGTCAGGGAGGTATACCATCTTTTAGGAGTGAAGAAGAGCAGAATGTAAGTGTGGTGGAGGTACGCGAGGCATTACGTAGAATGAAAGGGGGTAAAGCAGCTGGAACTGATGGGATCATGACAGAAATGTTAAAAGCAGGGGGGTATATAGTGTTGGAGTGGTTGGTACTTTTGTTTAATAAATGTATGAAAGAGGGGAAGGTACCTAGGGATTGGCAGAGAGCATGTATAGTCCCTTTATATGAAGGGAAAGGGGACAAAAGAGATTGTAAAAATTGTAGAGGAATAAGTTTATTGAGTATACCAGGAAAAGTGTACGGTAGGGTTATAATTGAAAGAATTAGAGGCAAGACAGAATGTAGGATTGCGGATGAGCAAGGAGGTTTCAGAGTGGGTAGGGGATGTGTAGATCAAGTGTTTACATTGAAGCATATATGTGAACAGTATTTAGATAAAGGTAGGGAAGTTTTTATTGCATTTATGGATTTAGAAAAGGCATATAATAGAGTGGGTAGGGGAGCAATGTGGCAGATGTTGCAAGTATATGGAATAGGTGGTAAGTTACTAAATGCTGTAAAGAGGTTTTTATGAGGATAGTGAGGCTCAGGTTAGGGTATGTAGAAGAGAGGGAGACTACTTCCCAGTAAAAGTAGGTCTTAGACAGGGATGTGTAATGTCACCATGGTTGTTTAATATATTTATAGATGGAGTTGTAAAAGAAGTAAATGCTAGGGTGTTCGGGAGAGGGGTGGGATTAAATTATGGGGAATCAAATTCAAAATGGGAATTAACACTGTTACTTTTTGCTGATGATACTGTGCTTATGGGAGATTCTAAAGAAAAATTGCAAAGGTTAGTGGATGAGTTTGGGAATGTGTGTAAAGGTAGAAAGTTGAAAGTGAACATAGAAAAGAGTAAGGTGATGAGGGTATCAAATGATTTAGATAAAGAAAAATTGGATATCAAATTGGGGAGGAGGAGTATGGAAGAAGTGAATGTTTTCAGATACTTGGGAGTTGACGTGTCGGCGGATGGATTTATGAAGGATGAGGTTAATCATAGAATTGATGAGGGGAAAAAAGGTGAGTGGTGCATTGAGGTATATGTGGAGTCAAAAAACGTTATCTATGGAGGCAAAGAAGGGAATGTATGAAAGTATAGTAGTACCAACACTCTTATATGGGTGTGAAGCTTGGGTGGTAAATGCAGCAGTGAGGAGACGGTTGGAGGCAGTGGAGATGTCCTGTCTAAGGGCAATGTGTGGTGTAAATATTATGCAGAAAATTCGGAGTGTGGAAATTAGGAAAAGGTGTGGAGTTAATAAAAGTATTAGTCAGAGGGCAGAAGAGGGGTTGTTGAGGTGGTTTGGTCATTTAGAGAGAATGGATCAAAGTAGAATGACATGGAAAGCACATAAATCTATAGGGGAAGGAAGGCGAGGTAGGGGTCGTCCTCGAAAGGGTTGGAGAGAGGGGGTAAAGGAGGTTTTGTGGGCAAGGGGCTTGGACTTCCAGCAAGCGTGCGTGAGCGTGTTAGATAGGAGTGAATGGAGATGAATGGTACTTGGGACGTGACAATCTGTTGGAGTGTGAGCAGGGTAATATTTAGTGAAGGGATTCAGGTGGGAGACGACCAACTTGTTGAAAAAAAAAAAAAAAAAATTCAGGGAAACCGGTTATTTTCATATAGGACTTGAGTCCTGGAAATGGGAAGTACAATGCCTGCACTTTAAAGGAGGGGTTTGGGATATTGGCAGTTTGGAGGGATATGTTGTGTATCTTCATACGTATATGCTTCTAAACTGTTGTATTCTAAGCACCTCTGCAAAAACAGTGATTATGTGTGAGTGTGATGAAAGTGTTGAATGATGATGAAAGCATTTTCTTTTCGGGGATTTTCTTTCTTTTTTGGGTCACCCTGCCTCGGTGGGAGACGGCCGACTTGTTGAAAAAAAAAAAAAATATTCACATGGAGGTACAATGCCTGGAGAATGGAAGGCAATCAGGCTCAATCCCAGGACAAGGTCCAGGGCCAATTTCTTGGATGAAGAGCCCCTCACCAGCATCAAGGACTACCCCTCCCCCTTGAGACCATCCTTTATAACAGGAGAAAAATGCAACTTACTGGCAGCCACTAACTAGCTTTTGGTCTTGTCACTCTCTCCAGAAAGGAAATCAGTAGTCAAAGTCTTCATAAGTGGTATGACCTCCATGTGGAGGTCCTACCACTTACCAGTAGCTGTAGTCTCAAGTGTCTGTATAACCCTACGAGTTTAGTGCTCCCCCATGATTATAATGTCTCGGTGTGTAGGTCCGACCATTTTGTAGTAGCTGCAGTCTGTGGAGGTCCTACCACTTACCAGTGGCTCAAGTGTGGAGGTCCTACCACTTACCCGTAGCTGCAGTCAGTATGGAGGTCCTACCACTTACCAGTAGTTGCAGTCAGTATGGAGGTCCTACCACTTAACATAAGAAAATAAGAATGAAGGAACACTGCAGCATGCCTGCTGGCTCATACTTGGCAAGTCCTTCTCAAATGTTATCCTCCTCACCCACATTTGTCCAACCTATTCTCAAAAGCCTGTGGGAACTTGTGAGATGCCCATGGACACAATGGTAAGGACAGTCCCAGCCAGTGTAGTCCAAGGCATCAATGAAGACTGCAGTATCTCCCCCACATGAAGGAACTGTCTTTCGGGAACAAGAAAGTGAAACATGAATGAGGTACAGGAGACTCCTTGGTTATAATATTTTTTTTTTTTTTTTTTAATAAGTCGGCCGTCCCACCGAGGCAGGGTGACCCAAAAAGAAAATACTTTCATCATCATTCAACACTTTCACCTCACTCACACATAATCACTGTTTTTGCAGAGGTGCTCAGAATACAACAGTTGAGAAGCATATACTGTATAAAGATACACAACATATCCCTCCAAACTGCCAACATCCCAAACCCCTCCTGTAAAGTGCAGGCATTGTACTTCCCATTTCCAGGACTCAAGTCCGGCTATATAAAAATAACCGGTTTCCCTGAATCCCTTCACTAAATATTATCCTGCTCACACTCCAACAGCTCGTCAAGTCCCAAATACCATTCGTCTCCATTCACTCCTATCTAACACGCTCACACACGCTTACTAGAAGTCCAAGCCCCTCGCCCACAAAACCTCCTTTACCCCCTCCCTCTAACCTGAAAACATACAAAATAAACTGAAAAACACACAAGAAAATGGTTACATTCCTTGGATCCCCAAAGATGCCAAACATACATTTTAGGTGGAAAAAAGATAAATGACTGCTGTATTATGGATCCCTTTTTGACATCTCATCCTTTATTTTGGCTATATCAATTCACAAACAGATCTGTTTGTGAATTGATATCAGGTCACAAACAGATCTGTTTGTGACCTGATAAGCAATGTAGATTAAAGATTTTCAGTTGAGGATCACATTATACTGCATTTGTTTATTTTCCATCATGTAAGTACTATACAATTCTAAAAATAATAATAAATTCAACTGTAACTGTTTCCCCTTGATTATAATAATAATAATCAACTGTAACTGCATAGGTTGATATGTATACATTTAATACAATACTTATAGACAAGGTTACATGCTCATTTTTGTTCTTACCTTAAATACCAAACAACTGGCACAGCTCTTTTCTTTTTATCTTGTAAAGCACGGGGAATCTTGGAGCAATAAAATAAGCATGGGCTTAAACCTAAATTTGCCTGATACGTTACTGTGCAAAAGGTGAAATGATCCGTATCACCTTGAGTCACAGTGCACTTTTCTCTTGCTTGCTGAATTAAGGTCTAAAAGACATCTTTCAATGAAGACATCTCCTCAGCATTATACAATTGCTCTAGCTCATAGCCACCATCAGAGATAATTTCTTACAATTCTGCAGAGAAATTCCCTGCAGCCATATGGTCAGCAGGTGCAGTTTCAACAGAAAATTTATTATGCAACAGCACAATTTAAACTTGCAGAACCAGCCAGAACTAAATTCACTCTTGTTTTATAGTACTCTAAGCTGAAGGAAGGACACTGAGAGAAGGGCAAGCACTGAGGGTATCAGGCAATCAAATACTCAAAAATACTTGGCAAGTCTCACAATTGACCAGAATAGATCACTCACAATTGTAATTGCAGTTTAATTAAAAACAGCTTCTTCATCTCTAATTCGGATGAATAATGTGGCGATTTCAGATGCAGCGAGAGTACAGTACTGTACTGGAAAAAATTCAGAAAAAGGTAAATACTACAGACCGGAAGCTCCTGAAGTCAAACTTGAGTTTAAGAAGTTGTGAAGTAGAGTGCCTCCATTTTTAAAATTAGGGAATAAATATTGCTGTTTACCAGGTCTATGATCATTCTGGAAAGACAGTGTGAATCACAGTGAATATTTTCTTCTTTGCCAATGAGTTAAAAATATATAATACATATAATATGGAATAAGAAAGGTTCAAAATTAATACCACAAAAATACTTCAAAATAGTTATATATTACACAGTATATACAGAATGTAATTTTTCTGTAAGTACAAAAT